GGGTCGCCGTGCCTCTCGGCCCTGCTGCGCGGTCCCAGCAGCGAGGGCGATCGCGTCGCCCCTGGCTGCTCATCACTTTGTCCCATCTGTAGGTGCTCGCAGTCTGGTGAATGACAGGCAAGCTGGGAAGAAATCCCATGTAAACTAGGGCACAAATACAGTGCGGCTGGCAGCGTGAGCTTGGCAAGGTCACGTTGTGCCCCGTATTGCAGTGAAGAAGCCGTGGCCCCGTCCCTCCAGACCCATGTCTGGCACCTGCCCGGGAAGCGACACGGGTGGGAGCCAGGCCGGGGAGATTTCCGAGAGGCACCACCCCAACAACAGGAGAGGGAGGTCTCTGCCCCCGCATGTGGTTCTCGCTCCCCGGCACCGGGTTGCCTGCGGGCTCGCTGCAGGAGCCGGTCCCCGATTATTTGCTCGAATACCCAGCAAATGGGCTTGAGTCGAAACCTGGGGCGCAAAGTCCCCTTGTGCAGCAAGAAGACCCCGATGGGGGTCCCAAGGGCGCTCAGTGGGAGGGTGAAGGTTTCAATTAACCTGTGCGTAGCCGAAGTAAAAGCTGCGTGCTTGAGACGGAGGCACAGAAATGCCTTTTTTTTAGAGGGGAGTTGTTTTCTGGGCAGATTGGCCACCTTCTGGTTCCCCAAGTCAATCTGTCTCCCAAAACATCGGTCATGGCTACCTTCAGAGGCACCTTCCCCTGCCGACCATCCTCGGCTAAGGACTCATAACCATACCCTGTGGACGAGCATGCATTTTGCAAGAGGCACAGAGACTTCCTAGGGGGAGCACCTTAAAAACAAATGGAGGGGCATCTCGAGGTGGGGGGGGGGGAATGACACACGTTCCCCAGGAGCCTGTCCCCGGCAGGACCAGGCATGTATAATGCAGCAGCCGCATCTCTCTCCTGTGTCTGCAGCCCCTTTTATGTGGCAATAAATCTATTGGAGCATTTACAGAATCCATACAGTATTTGCGTTTCCTGTGAGCAGGGGTGATTTTAAGTATCATTGGTTTCCTGTGCGTTGGCCAAAGTCCACGTCCCTCCAGGCTGCGGGCACGCTGTCCGTTTTACAAAACGTAGCCCTCAAAAAGCGTCCTCCTCCACCGGCAGTCGGCAGGATCTCAGTCGTGGGCTTTATATATA